CCTACGCAATAAAAAGTGCTTCTTTCTGATTGGCTGGCAGGTGTCTGGTAACACTTTCTTCAAGGCATCCATAGACATACAGTAGTTCTGGCCAACAATTATCCAACCGTTGTTCTCAATCAGCACTGAAGTTATATTAAACTGCAGGTAACCATCGAAAAATCCCTGTCGCTTAGCAGCTAGCTGATGGGTGAAACGTATTTAATCATTGGGTTTAATTGACAACAAACACTCTCTGAGATGTCTTGATATAGAAATGATTGACTCTCCCAAGCACATCATGAGATCAGTTAGAGCAGTGAGAAAATAATAAGTTGTATCGTCAGTGTGAAGTGTTAGCTTTGGCCTACAGGGGGCGCTGCAGCCAGCAGGCTGTGTTCTAGAGACAGAAATCACACAGGTACAGAGTGTACTATACGTCTATCGCAGAGTAGGTGAGGCTCTGTGCTGCTTGTTAGTCTACATGTGTGTGTGTGTGTGTGTGTGTGTGTGTGTGTGCGTGCGCGCCTCAGTATAGGGAGCTCTGCATCATATTGTACCAGACAGGCAGAGTGTCGGACTGAATACTAAACAGGAGGAAGCTCCTCTTCACACAGCGCCGATCCAGCCATATAGGACACTGACATGCGCGCACGCACATACACACACACACACACACACACACACACACACACACACAGACACAGACACACAGGCACTGACTACTCAAGCTTGTTCTTTTATATTTTGCTTCAATAATTCAGGTTACTCTGCCATAACATCCAAAATAAATTAAAGAACTTCTGGAAAAAAAAACTCACGAGGAGCATAATACTATTGTACATTATTATACATAGCTGTGTACACCCACACACATGTAATTGTACTTTTGTACCTGTGAGGACCCTCATGGACATTAAACACTCCCTAGCCTTGAAACCGAGTTTTAACCCCTGAAGAAATTATTGGACAAAATGTCCCCACTTTGCAAAATGCCGTCTCTTCCTCAAAAAATCTCACATGTCCTCACTATACAAAAAATCCTCACTTTCCAAAAAATGTCCTCACTTTTGCAAATAGGTCCTCATTTTCCATAAATGTCCTGACAATCCAAAATGTCGTCACTTTGTAAACGACTGTTGTCCTCCCATAAAATATTGTCAACTGTCCTCACTATACAAAAAGGTCCTGATAATCCAACATGTCCTCACGGTGAAGGTCTAAAACTGAAATTGGTCCTCACAAAGATAGATGTACAAGAATGTATACACACACGTTGCAGAGGCAGAACAAGGACGCAGCCTATGGACACACATGCGTGAGGACATACATAGACACTGGTTAGTACATCATGTACACACACACACATGTACGTACATACATGCACCCACTGCAGCACACACACACACACACACACACATTGAGTGTGCAGCCCACTCAGTGGTATAGTTTCCAGGGAGGTGGAGGATTTTTTATTTTTTCTCTCGGCCGAGCTCTTCACAGCAGAGGGAGGGAAGACTGTTTGATGTAAGTTGCGTTGGAGCACGCTCAGTAGAGTGGCGGCCTCAGATGCACCTGGCCTCAGTACGCTGTGGCAACATAATGGGAGTAGGCTGAGAGTTCAGGCGAGGCTGTCCAGAATTTACATTTATATTAACGCTGCGAGCCCCCCCCCCCCTCCCCCGGGCTGCACTGCAGCCAAGGAGAGAGAAGCGGCTGTGTTCACGTCTTGATCATCAAACTGTTGTTACAGTCTTGTCTCGGATCTCTTTCATGTTGCTGTTTGCGGTGAAACACTCCCAGCAACAATCTCATGAGATTTTTACGTGTGATTTAAGAAAAAGAACCCCCTAAAAAAAACATGCAGTTGTTTTGTTTGGATGGCATTTGTGATGTTTTAGCATTGCAGTGGTCTTAATGAAGATGATTAAAACAAGTCGGACTTTAAACTCCTGAGTGATGTCAGACCTTCAACATTTTCTTTTGCATTTCAATTTCCTTGAAGGTTTTAAAGCACAGAAACGTACGAGTCACCCTGGATTATTTAACAATACTTAAAGACTTCTGATCTCATCTTTGTTTCTTAGAAATCAGTTTGATGTAGTAACCATCAACCTCAGCTGCCAATGCTTTGGAGAAGAAGGCAGTCAGGATGGAGAATCAATTCAGAACGCTTCGTCACTGTTGACCAATTCATCAAGAATTGACGCAGAATCGTTAGCCGACATTAGCTGCTCTGTGATTGGATGTTTCTTAGGCAAGGCAAGTTTAAAGTGCTTTACATAATGCATTCAACAGGAATGCAGCGTTAAGCATTCAAATGGAAAAGAAAGATGAAAAGCAGAGAAATTATTATATAAGGGTAACATTTAAGTGCAAAGTGGAAAGTAATTAGTGTATATGGTTTCATCAAAGGGAGTTGAGAACATAAAAGTATTATATTGTCTGAAAGTTTGCTCTGTGGTGTGTAGTAAGTAAATGCTGCTTCTACTGAAATCTCAGTTTCTAAAGAGCTTGCAGCCAAGTACGTCAGAGCTGAATAAGACATTTTTAGGCGACCAAATTAACTTTCATAAAGAGAAAACACGGAGTAAAAGGGTTAAATTTCTTACACAAAAACACAGACAACTCCCAAACCGGTCAACTCTCTGGTAGAGACCTGTCAATCACTGTGTAGCCCCGCCCTAAAGCATCCCCTGCTTTATGGTCTGTGTGACTCTAAATGGACCATAATGTACTAAATGAACATCATGCTGTATTGAAGAAGACTTGAAACTAGAGATTGAGACCATAAACTCATGTTTACAATGTTTACTGAGGTAATAAATCAAGAGAGAAGTAGAGTCATTTTCTCATAGACTTCTATACAACCAGAGGAGTCGCCCCCTGGTGGACACTAGAGAGAATGCAGCTTTAAGACACTTCATTGGCTTCACTCTTTAGAACCGGAGGTTGCCGGCAATTTGAATCAAAGAGTTAACTGTCGACTCGACTTGAAGTGCTCTGACATTGTATTTTTAGAAACCTGGATCTCCCAAAGTCAATCCCTCCACTTTGCAACTGTATTAATTATTGTAATTCATATCAAAACGTGTATATTTCTTTTGTTGGAGTGTTTGCAGCAGTACAAATTCCTCAAATGACATTCAGCCCACAAGGCTGAGATATTCAGATGAACTATTGCCGTAATGTCTGACCGTAGCCTAACCTGTTTCTGGTTGGTGAGGTGATACTGGAAATGAAATTACTGGTGACTGGGATGTGGTTCGACTGTCGCAAGATGCAAATCTTCTCTTTCTCGTCTGGTGTAATAAGAAGTCGTCTCGTTCTTTCAGGAGTCAAATGAATGCAGTAAAGGGCTTCTTTTATCCATGCTGTTGGCCTTATTATGGGTCATTTGTTGTCTATGGTGCAGGTCTCTGAAATGTTTTTAGCAGCAAATCCTTAAAACCTTTCCAAAGAAACACCTAATTGACTGAGTGAATGGAATGTTATGGTGTCCTGTAGGTCACTGAATTCTTTTCACTCTGTACAATCTGAATGAACGACATGTCACATTTTAAAATATCAGTAGAAATGTGCAGATGGTGTTTGTCTCCCCAGTGCTGAAATTCCATGAAAATATTTTAATTCCATGTGTCAGAGAGTCAAAAATGTTTGTAAGCTGCGCACAGGAACTGAGCAGGCTTGTGTTCAATGTCTTGGTCACGGAAAAACTTCAGCAGAACAAACAGCTGCCGACAGGTTAGACGGCTGTAACGTGAATCTGACTAAAGCTGCTGTGTGTTATTGTTTTTTGCAGATCATGACTCTGGAAGACGGCTACTGAAATTCTGTTTGGTATAAAGACTCTTCAGCTACAGGACAGTGCCACACTGAGCTCTGACCAGGTAAAGGTACACTTTCACAACCCAGCGTGTGTTTTTGCCACACGCAAAAGTTTCTAGGCACGAAACTTTAATTATGTGATGAACAAAAAAAAAACACAACAGTTTGACTTTTAGTTTTCCTTTTCAGATGGAGGTGAATGCCGTTAAAAAACGCCATCGCACACGATCCAAAGGAGTCAGAAGTATGAACCTGTTCATCTGCTTTCTATTCTAATGCTGCCTACAAATGGGACTCGTGAGCTTGTGAATACAATACGTAAAGTCTATATGATCGGTGCAAGTGGTCACGTCAACAGCAACACGGACGCTGCTGTTGCCGTCTAGAAGCCGCAGAGGCAAACAATTTAGCAAACTACACCAGCGGGTAACTTAATGCTAGAAATAAAATTACAAAGTAAAGAAAAACTGTACAAATACAACTACAACATGTTAACTTACCAGCCACCGAAATCTATCTATCTATCTATTCATAAATTAACTAATTTAGCATCTGGCTACTTAGCTAATCCCACCATGCTTTAATGCTACACTGGTTACACAAAATTGACCGAACAAAGTTCACTCATCTGGCGATAGCAAAGTGCTTTTCTAGGCTGTGATAGGAGTGTGTGGATGAAAGTTTTTAAATTTCACTAATTTATGGGCTGGCTAGTTAGCTAGCTAGTTTGATGATTCCACCATGCGTTAATGCTACACTGGTTACAGGTAACCTGCTGGGTCTAAAAGTGTCCATGCTTTAGCAGTAATAATAATAATGCACTCTTAACTTATCTTTACAATATTGAATGACCAACATATTATATTATATATGTTCTTTATATTAATGTACATTGTGTAAAACATGGTGAACAGCAGATACCTCAGTAAATAATTTCCTTTCTTTTTATCATTGATTTGTTCAAAACTGGAGTGATAACAAAGAAGACAATCAGTGTGTGTCCCTTTCTATCCTCTTATGTAGAACACAAATAAGTTAATCCTTGACTCTGAACATAATTACATGTTAAGCAGAAGCTGACATACAGCAGATGTGTTAATTATTGTTGGTTGGCTGCAGATTGTTGGAGTGATAACATGAAATGTTTTTTGTTGTGTTTCTGTCTGAAGCCGCCGTTGAAGCAGTGACACAGGAGCTATTCAGGTAGGAAAACCTCTGCTGATCCAGAACACATCCATCACTGTACTTATTGTTGTGTTTTGTATTGCGTTGTTCTGTCCTATTGCGTTGTTCTGTCCTGGTTGTGGAACAGCGGGCCAGTCGTGGAGGTTTAACCTCCATGTGCTTTTTGATCGAGTGACCCAGCAATGAGTGCAAGAAGTGTTTCAGTGTTCTTGACAAGCTGAAGTCAAACTCGCTTTCAGTGAAGGTGGAGACAGATATTTTGTGCCTTTTATTTCTTATTTTTATTTGAGCGTGGGGATTTATTGTATACTTAACAATAAGTACCCACAAATATGTATCAGCCCCCGGTGATTTAAACAAAAACGAGTTTGACTTCCTGTCTTTGTAAAACTAAATATAACCAATAAATACATAGATATAAATTGTTATTTATTAGCAAAATACTTGGTAAAATATCTTCAAAACTTAGACAGGAATTAAAATTCCAGTATGTAATATATATATTATATTATTATAATATATAAATATATACACATTTAGAATTGAATTGGACAGATCAGTCCCATTGTCACAGACACCAGATCCAGCTGTTAGTCAGTATCCGCGATATACAATATTGATGCATACCTAACTTTAAGTAAAGTAAATAGGCCAGAAGCCGAAGGAGCCATATATAAAGGAACCGCTACACCACAGGATTAAATGTTTGCCGTTTGCTTTTCTGTTGAGTCCTCTAGTGCACATTTGTATGAAGCGACTTAAGTGGTCCTCGCCACAAACATGATGTTTTACCTTCTTCACGCGTGAACATAATGTAGCTTCAGATACATCGGTGGATTGACGCGTCGCACTGGCAGCCACGCAGAAGCTTTTACCAAATAGTTTTAGCCGAAGACGGAGCTGAGCTCGAAGGCAAAGTGAATAGATGAATGTAGATATTTAGAGTAAATCATGGTATTATGTCACACACTAGAGTGGGTCAGCAGAAGTACGTTCATATGTTAAAACTTTCAGTCGAATTCGACCATCACATTTTGAGGATTCGCTACATTTTGCATGATGACTGTAGAAACACACCAGCAGCTGCTGACCTGTAAATGCTGAATATCACTGTTACCTGTGTGTGTGTGTGTGTGTGTGTGTGTGTGTTTCTGCTTCACTTAATCT